AAAAATTGCTTTTCCAGGAGACCATGTAACGCGTTATCGAGGTCCTTCCGTTCTCCCGTTGCTTTCTGGACTACAACGCGACCGGTTGACCGGCTTCTCCGTGCGACATCCACGATCGACCTTGGAGAACCCCCTTCGTGACCTTCGTTGAGCCCGCGTTAACCATACTCTCGAGGACTCTAGGAACTTTTAAGTACTTGGAATGATTTAGAATCTGTCGCACGTTCGAAAGGACCCGACGGATCTTCATTAAAGATAGGGTCGTAACGAAAAATAGACAAAGACGGACGATGCAAAGGCGTAGGGGGAGAGAGAAAAATGAGGGGGAACAGATGGACGGAGGCTGGAAAGGGTACGAAATGAGGGAGAGGGCTAAGATAAAAGACAGATACATAGAGAAGCGAAAGGGGTGGTCGGAGAGGGAAAAGGGTGGGGTTAATTTATCACGGGACTCTTGAAGTTTCGCTGGTCCAACAAAGGCGACCGCGAGTAAAGTTTCCCTCCAGCGATGTTTCACCGCAGTAGGATAAGAAAATTCGAACAGTTTCGTGCGGCCAAAATAAAAGTCTCGTCCTCCCGGTCGGACAAGTCGGAGAGAGGTAGGTCTATTTACGGGATCTCTGCTCTCTTCGTAATAGGTCGAAGCCGCTCCTAACACGGGAATCCCATTCCGGGCCTGTCAAACATTTTATTTTCCGGCTATTACCCTGCATTAACTCGCGATTACACGACCCGCGAGGATCGATTCCGTCGCACGTCGTACCAATACGCTTAGCGCCTCAATCTTGCTATGCTCGTTTCATCCTACCTTCTCTGATCTAAATATTCGTGCCAGGAATTGGTTAAATCGAACGATTACCTTTAGACGAACGTCCTGCGTTCGAAACATTGGTCCTAAAAGTGAGTCAAAACGAATGTCCTCTTGCCCAAGTATTGGTCCCAAAAATTGGTCAAAAGGAACGTCCTTTTGTCTAAATATTGCTACCAATACTTGGCCGAGTAAAAGAGCTTCCTTTTGCCTAAATATTGGCCAAGACGAACGTTCTCTCTTTCAAATATTCGTCCCAAAAATAGATCAAGACGAACGTTCTTTTATCTCAACATTGGCCTCAGAAATTGACCATGTGAAGTGTCCTTTTGTTTCACCATTAATCCCAGAAATTGGTCGAAAGGAACGTCCTTGTGGAATGTCCTTTTGTCTAACCATTAATCCCAAAAACTGGTCGAAAGGAACGTTCTTTTGTCTAAATATTGGCCCCAGAAACTGACCAAAATGATTACTTCCATGTGCTCTCTTCTAAATATTCGTCCCAGAAACAGTTGGAGACGAAAAATTCGAACGAACGTCCTTTTATTTAAATATTCGCCGCAGAAATTGACCAAGAGGAACAATTACGCGGCGATCGAGGTAATTCCCCGGTTGTCGTAACCCCGATGCTTTTGCAACGGTACGCTCTCTGACGGGAACTCGCGGAAACAAAACGCTGGACGAGTATCTAATTAAAATAAAAACGGGGTACTTATGAAGCACGAGAGCGTTCCTTAAAGCGATAAAGTAACAAAGTGGTAAGAAGAGCTAGACAGGAGTGGCGGTTCAAAGGGAGAAGCGGAAACGGAGCGGGATGTTAATAAATAAAATATTATTCACCCGATGTCTTTGACAGAGAAAACCTCACGCAGAAAGGAAAACAACGGGTACATAATTATCCGATTCCGACTCTTTTACAGGGGAAATTTCAGTAGCAGGCTCGCGAATCGGCGTAACTCGATCAGCTTGATAATTCCTTCTATCCGACCAGACTCAATCGAACACCGAATCGTCTTTACTTACCCTTTGTCGCTGCTGTTCCTCGAATGGGAAATTCACGAGTACAGAATGCGATACGATACCTTTACATCACCAACAAATATTTTCTTCCACTCGGTTCACCGACAAATACGTACTCAAAGCAACAAACATCGAGCAATTTGTACGCTAGTGGACTCAAAATCAGTACTTTGCTACTCACAGATGAATGGACACTCGAATCTTTGCTACTCACAGATAAATAGACACAAATGCAATCATTAGACACATTCCTCAGATTATTTTGTAAAAACACAGGACTCTAACTTCGATGCTTAGTAATCTATAGATCGCAGTATTGCCTTTGAGTCCTCTAACGAGCGAATCACCCTGTCATTGACAAAACTCGGTCTGTGAAATCGTGTCGTTGAATACACCTACAACTAAATGATCGTCAATTACTATATAGCAGTTAGAATGTTGCTATAACACACCGAATATGTAAACGAGGGTGAAATGTGCATCACGTCATCCTAGTTGAAAAGTTTGATCTGTATCATCGCGGATGTTATAGTATTCTGACTATTTTTGCGAAATATGTCTAATCAGATTTCGGATATCAACTTATGGGGATTCGTTTTGAACCCTATTGGTGCTGCCTATTGGTATCCTGATGGCTGTCTTGCTATAATGGGTAGAATCCTCATCCTGAGGACTCATCCCTAGTCTAGTCAACGTTGTTAATAACACTTGTCACCTCAGCTCTAACAGAAATCACTTTAATCGCTAAGAATGGATCTAAGAGATGAATAGACAATGACACGTGAGATTGTAGTCTTTGTGGGGATCCGTCTTGCAATGATAGGTAGCAAGTAGAAGGATGCAAGGAAGGGATGCGTTTCTGAGCCTAATAGTGGACTCGTCAGTAAAGGCCTTCTAGCAGGCCCTGTCTTAGCCTAGGGATACTTATATAACATAGGAACTTACATTTATGGGAATCGAGGATTCACCGAGGGCTTGCTAGAAACCTCGAACCACCATTTTCCATCTAGCAGTGAGGATATGAACATTAGTCCCTATAAACTAATTTTAAAAAGTATTACCTATCTATTTTTGCAGCTCGCTGAAATTTTTACGTGTTAAAATCCCGAACATCAGTTCTGACTAATATCCAATTAAATTGCATCAAATCTTCAACATCGAAGAGACGAAAATCATATATTTAACTGTAACTAAACGAGCTACTGAAATAGAACGTTTTGAAATTGTGACATCTCCCATACAACCAAAGAAACAATCTCTCGCGAAGTATTCTGGATGAATGTTTAAACGGGTTCCTGGTGCAAGGGGCCGAGGGAAAAAATGAGGGGGGCAACGATTCCGCAAGTAATCGCGAGAGACGTGGAGCAATAATTCTAGCGCTTGCAATTTATCAGAGGATGCTCGTAAACAATTCATAGGGTGGAAGGGCTCCTTCCCTTTTCGATAGCGCTCCGCGAAGGCAGCGGAAGCCGAGGGTGGAAGTAGAGGGCGGGCGAAATCGATGCAAATGCGAGATTGTTTTCAGAGTCCCAGAAGAATTATGACGCGTGTACAACGGGCCGCGTATTTCGCGGCTGGACAGCGCGAGGAAATTAAGCGACCGGTCTCAAGGGCGACGTTCTCGGACTTCAAACTTCGCCGGGCCAACTTTTCCCGCCATTGTGCCTGGATTTATCGGTTCGCGGCAAATAAATTATTGGCAACCGTGACTACTGTACAAACGTCGCGGGAGCTGCCTATAAGGGTCCCAGCAAATCCCCGATCGCGATCGCGATCCCGCTGCTTTTCTTCAAATATTCACCGACCACCGATCCTCCGGCCTCGTGCAACTTTCACGACCTTTGTTCGCCGACTAACGAGCAGAAACTACCCCGATAAGTAGTCGTTCCGGTTACTTCCACCGGCAGTAGGAAGAATGGCAGCCAAGAGGGAAGCAAGAGGGAACCTCCAGCAAGGATAATTCAATTTCCACGACGAAAAGGCGGCAGAATTTTACGACTGTCAAACTACTCAGCAGTATTGTCTGCTTGGTAATCGAAAGAGTAGTAATGTGAAGAAATATTTGATCGGAAAGAAACCCTTTGTTCATTCGTTAACGATGATTCGTGAAAAGGGAGCAGGAGGCCCGATTGTCCTGCTCGTCGAAGGATGTATAAAGAATAAAGGTCGATTTGCTTTATGGATCAACGTCATGTCGAGATAACTATTCGATGCAGAGAGATACTTGCAGAGATCACCGACGTTGTAGAAAAAATAATTCCATTTCGGACTTCATGGCTACCAGGTTTACGTCCTACTTAGACCCCACCAGGTTCACCTCGACATACGGGGTTTATTCCGTTAATAAAACCGAAATATCAAGGTATATGGCTTCCATGAAGGATGAAATAGTCCAACTCGACGTCCCTCTGCAAGATCTGCCCGATGCGTCACGCACAATTGACGCGACGTCACGATAATTCCGAATGGAATCAAAGCGACGAAGGTACTCGAAACGAAATTGCAGGTCTCGATGGCACGAGTTGTCTCATGCATACAGAAGGCAGCCGATGTTCCTACGGGTAGAACGTCCCATTTCGTGCTACTTTTCGTTCCACGGCGACCTTTATCTCGAAAAACCGACCGTACACCCCTAACTGCGAGGATTCTCGAGCAACGGGGACCGTTTATGACTCGATGACGTTCGTATCGTGGACGTCGACTCACCGACAAATCTCGCGATCCTGCATTCCCCACGGAAGGGTGCAGGTGGATGGTTTGGCGATGACGAGGAGGGATGGAAATCTGTGGAAAGGGGGAGCAGCAGGACGCGAGGCATACGAATCTGCGGACTCACCCGATGGATTTTTTCCAATTTCATATTAAATCCACCGGTTTACGTTTCGTCCGTGGACCGTGAAAGCGGGCTTGATTATTTCGAACGCGAAACAATCAGTCGTAATAGAACTGCGGGGCGGATGAAAAAGGGTCGGAGAGGGAGACTAAAGGCGCGAGCTACGTGACGTACAGGGCGAATTCTTCTTTGTTTTCCGGACGCTTGTCTTCTCCACGAAACGAACAAATCCACCAAGACTTTCTCTCTTCGGCTTTTCTCTGCAACGAACAAATTAGACCCGCCACGTTCCCACGCGAAAAAGGAACCCTCTCCCGCCGTGCGTCACTTTCTCTCTGATTCTACACAGATGCAACGTTTATTCTGCAATCTTTCAGCTGGGTACAAGTTAAAGAAAACGACGCGGCCGATATCGCTCAACGAGTCCACGAATTATCTTCGAAGGCTGCCTCCGCGTCTTCTCGGAACCAAGGACTCAACGCCGCCAACTACTTAAAGTTTGATCCCAAGTTTGCTCGCCTTGTCCTCGAATTTCACCTTGTACTCGCCAGTCGGGTCGTACTTCTTCGACAACTTCTCCCACATTTGTGGCCGCTGAAACGTAAACATCGAGAGTTTCATTCGAGGATTCGTTAATCTCCTCAGGCCGAGTTCTTGCAGGTTTGAGGTTAGGAAGTTAACCTCGTCGATGCGAATCTCCAACGATACGATTCTTCGATCGATCGAGTCGTTTTGTCGAATCGATGATAATCGAAAAACAGTCGCGTGGCTAGAGTTATCGTCGTTTAGGTTAGTTTTTTACTTGGCCGCCATTTGCAATGCAACTAGAATGTTACTAGCGACGAACGCGTTACAAAGCAAATTTGTTACGATCATTGCGTTGTCAATCTATGGTGATAGTTATAAACATAATTATCAAGAACTATTATATAATAAATAAATAAAAAGTTATTAATTGCGAGTTAAAAAAATCGTAGGAAAATAAAATTTTCAATTTTCCTATGAGTATTTAGTATCATATAGACGAGTGTAAACGATGCTTTTAATTATCGATTTGATAAAATAACTGAATCGGTCTAGAAGATCGTATCGTTTGGTTTAAGTAGTAGACAAGATGGCGGAAGGGAAGGAAACAATTACTGCCATGAAATGTGGTCTACACGTGCGAGAAAAGGATGCCACTTTCGACCGCGTTCCATTATAATAAAATTAATCTCGAGTCTGTTAACGAAGCGGGAAAAACAAGAATGTCAGCAAGACGAAGCTGTACTGCTAGGTTCAATTAAAAGTTAGCGACCTGAGTAAGGCAAGCGTTAAATCGTTCGTTGTAAACAGGAAGCATTCTAAGTCGGCCGAGAATATTTTCTTGCAAAGCCTCCTTGTCGGTATCTTGCTACAAAATTTTATAAAAATTAATGCATTGTTATAACATTAGGGTAACCAATTTGTGGAAAGACAAGTGGCAAGAATTGTATGGACGAGATTGTAGATAGGTTTAAATATGGGTGCAAGGACAGTCTTTTAACAGCTCTCATAGAGAGACTTAACAGAGTTGGCAGAGTTTTGGCAGAGTTTTTAATCAGAGCTTTTAGGCAGAGTTTAGGCAGAGTTTGGACAGAGTCTTTGGCATAGTTTAGGCAGAATTTTTAGTCAAATTTTGGTGTGCACAGTCGAAGAGTGCATAGTGAGAGTGTCGGTCAGTCGCATAATCATAGATCAGTTATTAGTCTAATCTTTTAATTTATACTTGACACCTAGTCTCTTTTAGCTCGTAATAAATATATATATTAGAATAAAATAACATCTTTTATTCTTTATATTCGTCAATCAAACAGTAACCCTGCATTTATTAACCCTTTGCATTCGAAAGGCGACCTATAGTCATCGTTAAATAATATTTTAAAGATCAATATTAATTAATACATGAAATTTAATACAATAAAACAATGTGCGAGGTATTGAAATCAAATAATCCCACGTGTTAATTATTATACGATCTCTTATTTACTGCTGGAAAAATATCACCATCTTTATAGCAGAAAGTCTTTGAATTTCAACTTTTTTCTAGCCAAAAGCTCGTCGAGAGTAAAGAGTGAAATAATGATATTCTAATTAAAATTAATTATCGTAGACCAAAATGGTCGATACATTATTTAATAAAACTTTGTTTGTCTCAAACGAAGCGATTTCCATTTTGCACCATAAATACCGACGTTATTTTCTGACCAACACGATATACAACGTTGGTTCGAACGATATAGTGTGCTCGTAAAATCGGTCAAGTCTAAAAATATAAGCGTTTCGAACAGAACGGTAATTCGAAATATTTATTCAATATTTAGAAACAGATGAAGCACTCGGACGACTATCAATATCCATTTAGATCAACTCCTTTCATTTACAAGAAGTTCAAGTCCTCAGAAACATTGATAAACTAGTATTAGTGAATTTGGAATAAATAATTAAGTCTCAACCATTCTAATTAAAATCTTGATATGAATCTTTTAACTATTCAAAAATAGCTTTTAATCTTCCATTTAATATACTTGATTCCCTCGTGTATCTCTAAAAATGGGATGACAGTGATCGAGTAAGTAACCAAGTTGAGATTCAAATCTAATCAATAATGTCTCCTAACCTGCCACGAAGATGCTCCATTTCTGGCACATCAACCTTCTAATTTCATCAGCAATTGAAACTAGGTATATCGTTCGAACCATCTAAACCTGAAGACCTCGTGACTGCGTTTACACTGCCATATAGCCCGCAATCCATGAGAAGGAAGATTCCAACGATACGGGAATAATCGCAAGAACATAAAATGGATGTAAAACAGGAAGAGAGAATCAGGGGGAGGGTAAGTTAGTCGAGGAAGTTTGCTGAGTGGAACTGGGCAAAGTTCGACGCGGAACAAATTATCTAGTTGTTCCGGATCATAGGCTAACGATTATTAGGAGAAGAAGTCCTAGACTCGAGCTGGCCAGGGGCGGCCTCTGAGAAGGGAACCTGCAGGGGCAAAGTGATGCACGGGAAATTATTCGGTGGAGAGTTTTCCACGGTGTCCCGTGAAAGTAAAACCAGTCAGGGACCAACGTATCTGCCTACCATGTGATCAGGTTCGCGCAACACTCCATGCCGATTCGAAAAGTGAACGTACCTTGTTAACCAGGAACCGGATGACCTTCTCGCTGGTCGTTTTCTGCTTCTCGCTGCACTTGCTGCAATCATTCTCCAGAGCGTCCGGCAGGGATTCTGAAATCACGAGAACAGTTGGAATATACATCAGGCGATACTTTTCAGAGTTTGCCTCCTTCTTGCTACCGCTCTATTTACTCCGCGCCCCTGTTACCGGGGCTCCTTTGATTCCAACTTCCGGTCCGTCTCACTCGGTTCAATCGCTTCAATTGCCAAGGATAAGGCCCGATAACGTGCATCGTTGCGACTGCGGGAGAAAGGTAATTGGCAAACTCTCGTAGCTGGGTCTTTTTCAACTTTCGCTGTTACGCTCCTCCAGATATCGCTCCGGAAGCGGCAAGTTTCCGCGATAAGGGGTAGCAGGATGATCGTTGACCGATGATGGGGTAATTATGGGAAGTATCGGCTCCGACGAGAGGAATCGCGGGTGAAGAATACAGCACCGTGTGTCGAGAGACTTTCGGGCAGAATTATAATTTAAACTCAACGAGGCCTGTAAACAATCTTTTCTTTACTTCCCTTTCTTTTCTTTCCTCGCTGGTCTTTGTTGCCCGGCTGGCAGGAAATATGACGAGGTACTTTGGTTACTTTTCTATGGTACTTTTAAATGGGTTACTCGAGCAACCTTCTTATTTATACTGACAAGGGTGAAACTACCCTCTCCAGCGTGTAACCGGCGGTTCCTCGGGGTAACGAGGAGGGGGGAGCAGAAAAGGGGGCAGAAGGCGTCTTAAAAACGAGATCAAGAATTTTCCAAAGTGACCATGGACGTGGCGAACTTCGGAGAGAATTACTGCGAAACTGTGCTAATTAGGGTCCTCGGTTTAATCGCAATCGAACACTCGGCGAAATGGGATCGAGCGTGATACCGTCCTTTTCGGGAGTCTCGTTTGCCTCGCAATTTCGCTGCATTCAACGAGGATACCTCCTCGATATCGAGATTCGCTGATAACTTATTAACCATCGGGCTCGGCGTCCTTTCAGCAACTTTTGCAATTATCTTCATTATCCTTTCACCGGGAGCAAGAGAGGACATTTAGTTCCGTTAAATATTGCGGAAATTTCAATGATATCGTCCCCTTTTTGTTTCCCGCGCGTAGCAAACTTTAACGACCCCATAGCGGCGCCAAACTACCCTCGTTCCTCACGTGTCCTACAACTTTATATCTCGGCCTCTTTATACCCTGGACTTTCCCTCAAGTGCGACTCTCGGTAAGCATAACGTACTTGTTACTTTCGCGCAAACGGCCACGAAACATCGCCAAACTTCCCTTGCCACGCTACGTCAGCCCCGGCCCATCCACAGTCGAGGGTCAACGAATAATAATGGTGTAATAACGGTGTAATAATGGTATCGCGAAGGGTCGTTGAACCGACTATTAGACGTTCATACGGCAACGAAAAAAGGAACGGAGGAAGGAATTACGGTCGTAGGATGGCCCGCCGATGGACTTTGATCGAGCGAACACGGTGGAGAATGAGGTTAGGTCGCAGACATTATAATTTTTCCATATGGCGTTCTCGATCGTGTACGGCTTCTCTGCATGGCCAAGTTTGCAACGCGTGTTATTCCAGGGAATATAAAAGCGAGGAGGAAGAAGGTCAGGAAGCGGTATTTCCTAGTCCTCGTGCTGGCTCGTGACGTTTTTTCTCGGGCATCATTTGCAGCAGCTGCGGGAGCACGTCGTTCGTGAATTTCCCGAGACAAGAACTGTTTTTCCCCGATAAAGCGCCATCTATCTGGCCCGCGATTCGCCACGGCTAGACGGGAGAAAATAAAACGAGACGAGGGAAATCCGTCTTGATGGACCGATACGGGTTGACGTTCACGCGAGGGTCCTATCGATGCAGAAGTCCCGCGCATCTCGCGTGAAATACGCCCGCCATTTTGCCGATCGCGTAAGCGCCGCTGGAGTCGAGGCTCGACTGGTCACGTGACGCAGCTCTCGGAGATATCCCGGTTTAATTCGCGCCAAAGCCGCTAGATTACGAATTCGTCCTGCGAAAGGATCATTTGTTATCGTTTCGTTTGGGAAAGCCAGAGCTGGGAGAAAGTCTCGTGGAACGAATACTCTCCTCGTGCCACCTGGTCGGACCTTTGAAGTCCCTGAAATCACTCCTCTTGGGTTCTCCGCTGGGAATATAGGTGTGTTGGCAAGACGAATTACATCGGTATTCTTTTCAGCTTATGCTGACTACCTTAGTTAGACTGATACCCTCAAACTACTCTTTTGATCTCTCCATGGTGTATGATCTGTGTTTCAAACGTGATGTTTATTTCCATTATTTATAATCCTGCCCGAATATGTTGTATTACACTATTATACCATAAGAAACGTCTATTTTTCGACTATTATAAGCGATTAGTTGATGCATACTGTATTTGATGCACACTGTATTTGATGCATTTTGTACGCGTTGCAGACAAGAAAACGTAAGCTGTGTTTTACAAAGATTCCAAGACTGTTCATCCATTATGAGCTGACATTTATTGTCAATGTTTATATATATTGCGTGTATATACTCTATTACGTTGTTGCACTGTGACCAATCAAGTCTGTATTCCCTCTACGAGAACTTTTCTTCAACTCTATACGATACATGCGTGTGATCCATAAACTAGGCCAAACGTAAGCAGCGATTTAGAAGGGTTTCCAGGCTTTTTATCCACTTTGGCCGACACTTTCGCCAGGGTCGACAGAGAGCAAGATCAGCGGTAAACTTCCTAACGAAGCTGTTACATATGTACATAAATGCAAACACTTGAACCGCGACTCGGGGTGGCAACCGTTTGAGGCCTTATCAGCGCATCGCAACCTGTTGGTTGTCGCACTTTTTAATCCGGATACCTCGTGAAAATACGCCAACGTTCGCCAGCCTTGCACCCCCTCGGCCGGGTGGGTGCCTGCCGTTTTCCCGGTATCTTCCTCGGTGTAATTTGTCAAAAGAGGAAAAGGGATAATCTGCTAAGGGTGAAAAAGGTTGAACGACCAGAAGCGCATCGGGGCCCACTTTTACCATTCCCATTGAAATACACGTGTTCTTATAACGCTTAGGGATTCACGATAAAAAGCTTGTCACGCTTCATTGCAAGAGTAACGAGTCGCCACGCGAAATGGATAACTCGTGTTCCGTCTTGCCACGAGATATCGCCGCAGCTCGTCCACTCCGGGTATCTTAATTGAATCGAAAATTATTCCGCTGTGAGTATACAGAGGGTGGCTAACGAATCACCAACTGGGTACCAAGGATGTCGATACGGAAGATTTATCGGTTGCGCGATTATTCTTCCGGATTATCTTGGAATTACCTCGGTAGGTAATAAGTCGCGAGATAGGGATCCCGCGGAACGCTCTCCCGAATTCTAATTTTTCATCGAGGGCCTATGGATGGTCTATAGATCGTTTACGAATGATCCGTCGACGATAATCGCGTGTTAATCCAGTCACGTGATTATTGTCGCGAATTATCTCAGGGTTACTTTGAAAAATTAAGAAGACCTGAGGCAAAATTTCCACGAGCTATGATTTTTCATAAGTGATCTATGAATGATCTACAGATTGTTTACAAATAGCCCATCGATGATGACCACGTATTAATTCATTCGCGTGACTTTTTACCAGATTATCACAGGATTACCTCGAAAGGTTATGAAGTGGCTAGACATGATTTTCACGAATTGCTATTTTTCATCAACTATCTGCGGATAGTCTACAAATTGTTTACGAATGGTCCATCAACGGTTCATCAATGGTCCATCAACGACAACCGCGCGTTAATCCAGCCGCGAACGATCGGTAAACCACGATCAGATTTAATCCGAAACTGGAATTTCGACTACGACGAATATCAGATTCGATCATTAGACGTTAACGCGAAACGTAATGATAATTATCGCAACTCGGCTGGAGTCCATTAATGATCGATAAATAACTCGCGAATTAAATTATCCCATGAATCAGACATCTTTTTCCTGTAGCTCGGCAAGGGTACCTGTCCCACGAGATTCTGAAATAGTAATCAAACGCGGAAGGAAGAGATTCGAGTGACTGACTACACCCCTGCCTCTTCTATTCGTTTCGTAGATCTCCAGAGAACGTGACTCAAAAACCAAACGATGTACGACCAACAGAATTTTCGAACCCTTTTGACAACCTGTACAGGTATTTTGAACGATGTAACTGGTCTTTAGAAGACCACTTGAATCCTTTCCTTGTCCCACATAGGACGTCAATTCCCAAATCACATTCACTGTTAGAATAAATATGCAAATTAGTCGGGGACAGCACCTTCGGGACCTTGCAAAGTCTTCCACAGCTTTATCTATCTATATATCGTCTCTAAAGCACACACTATGTACAATTGTTCCATCAGTTTACTTCTCTATGTACGTTTAGATCTATATATCGTCTCTAAAGCACACACTATGTACAATTGTTCCATCAGTTTACTTCTCTATGTACCACTGTTAGGCATGTCTCTCCTGTGATCTTAAATATACGTATACATATTCTCGTTAAAGGTCCTATTTCAATCTCTACACTGTCAGGCCATAATCCATCACGCACGAAACGTTTCGTATATCATAGATCACGTACCCATATTTTTGATGACTATCCATCACAGATATACAGTAGACTGGGATATATATTTAATCACTGCAAAAAGTAGGTAGATATACATAGGGTTAATGAAACCTCCAAGGAAGAACTAACACTTGGAATTGTGACTCAGAATTGGAACTGTTCCCTTAGAATTGTTCTCCTAGAATTCTCTTAGAATTGTTCTTTGCATCTCAGTTTCTCCATTACATCGCGTATTTGCTTCCCTGCGAAGATTCTCTCTACATGGAACTCGTTAAAGTAGTATCCCGAAAAATTCTGCCAACTACAAACGCGTAACAAGAGAAAGAATTACCTCGTCTATCGAACATATTCCAGTATACTCCTATCTACGACCCAAGAAAATCGACAGGCATTCGAAAATATTCTAATCACGTGCATTTTCATATTCCAAATCTCTTTTCCAATCCACCACGAATTTTTACCTTCCTACACATCGATTTCTTCTACTCGAGCACATCCACTGCGCAAAAAGAGTCTCAGAGTACCCACGTAAACAATCAGCAACCGCAGCAGCTGATAGGACACAACTGTCGCATCAGCAGTCGTCAAAGTGCTAAAAACCCCATAGAGCATGTGCTGGTCCAAGCCGCACAAGTGGTCTGAAAGTTCACAATTCCAGGGAAGTATTTAAAACTCCTTCGCCCCGCGAAAACCAACCGAGTGACGGAACGGTCGCTAACAGAATCCGGGACCCGATCGCTGGGAGAACGCGAGCAGAAAAGACTCATCCCCGTTGCCCGGAGAAAAAAGAGATCCGGTCGTTCCGTACGAACGTTCCAGGTTGGGGAACACAGGAGGCCGTGCAGTCCCCAAGGACGCAGGTCGGACGAGGTGGTTACCGGGGTTCTTGGACGTTGGAGCGAACGAAAGCTGCGGTCTTGCAATTCGCCTCCTTTTTCGACCCACTTGCCAGACTTTGACCGCGACCCTCGTCCAATATGTGACAGCGTTACACCGCGTACAACCCGCAAACTTTCCATCAACGACATTCACCGACGCCGTTCGCCTGCGGAAGCCTACGAGGGCACCGGAAGTGCTGCCGGTACACGATCGGCAAGCCAGGCAAGGAAACGAGGGACGAGGTCGACGACGAGAAATAGGAAGTGGAGGGCATTGCTTATTGGATTTCGAGGCAAGAGGTCCCCTAAGACCGAGCAACGACGAACGTTAGAGTCCTCACGATGAAACAAGCTGCGTCGGGGGAAAGGGTGGCCAGGTTACAGCCGAGATCTGTGGAATGGAAAAATACACCGGGACATTTGCCTGCTACTTTCGGCTGCAATTTATATCACCACGCTGTTCCCGAGATCTTTCCTCCCATTTTCTGCGCAATTTTCGTCAACGAGCACCATGTTTCGGTGAAGAATGCCTCCATTTCGATATTCACTTTATGAAGCTAGTCTGTGGTCAATGTAGATCATTTTGTAAATAATTAACCTAGACTGTTCCCAAGTATCTCGTTCACAGTGGCTCAGGAAAGTCTTAGAAAGGGACTAGTTCCACTGAGAAATTCTAGCCCTATATCGAGGGACTAGGTTCACTGAGAAATTCTGATTTTAACGAAAGAACGTGTGTAAGTAGGTGATGCATAGCGAGCTATACATGGATCAATTTCTTTTATTCGCAGGTTGTCGTCTTACAATAAGAATTTCTCCATGCGAGATGAGACATGCATCAGGAATCGAAAAATTGATGAAATCTTAATCGCTCAAAGTGATATTCTGCAGGCAAAAGAATTATCCCGCGTGTAACTCGTGTTCTACGTACTCGCAAACTTTCATTAAAATTGGAATATAGCGTTCGTGAACCACTGTACTTCATTCTATCAGTCATGAAAAATTGATTTCCGTATCTGCGGACATGTATCTACCATTCTTTAGTTAACCAGGACCTGTACCATCTTCCAAATAACCTACAGTATGTATGTACTACAGGGTGGCCCATCTAATTTTACCACTTACTTCAATTACTTCCAATTAATGTCTAATTATTAAAAAATTGAACAAATTTTCAAGACAGAGGGACTTGATTTCGATTAAATCGACTATGAAACAACTTAGTAACCAAGACAATCAAATTGGTCAAGTAAGGTGATGCCAAGTCAGAGCACCTGAGACGATAAAGGCAATGGTTCATCCACGAGCATCAACTTGAAATACAATTCTCTGTAGTTCTCCTTACACCTAAACTCGCTATAGTTTCCAAAAAATTGAATTTCGAGACCACTCCAGCTCGAGCTAAATCATGAGCAACGCGAAACTTTGTCCAGAGCTGTTAGTCTGATTCTTCCGCCACCCTGCTGGCGTACCCTCGTCCTCGTTAGAAATTCCCTTTACTCTTTGCCGAGCGACTCCTCTGGAGAATGGTGGCGACACCGGCGAGCGTGGCAATTCCGATTCGCAGCGGACAACACGAGTCTCGCGGACAGAGAGGTTAGGACACCGGGAGGCGATGGAAAAGAAGCGTTTGTCGCGACGCTGGGCGAGTAGTAATTGGTGAGAAACGGGACAGCATGGAGGTGAGGTGTACGTGTTCGCGTTAAACTGGACTTAAAGGGTCGACTCACTTTTAAGCTCCTTGCCGTCCGGGGTACAACTTCCGAGTTCCAGCAGGCAGTTTACGTAGTTGTTCAGCAGACGATCGCTCTTCAGGATCTGATCCACGTCGATGTTGTCGTACTTGGTCGTGTACGTCTCGCCTGCCAGCGCGCAGGCCAACATGGCGAGGAAAACAAGAGCGACCTACATTCGAGAGCCGGACAGAAAAGCGGAAGTCTTTTATAAAGTGGCATCTACGAGATAAAGCGACGCAACGCCGCGATACGGGCCCTGCAAACCCCTCGCCTCCCATTTCCCGCCCTTTCTCCTGCAATTTTCCCTCAGCCGAGACTAACGGGGCTAATAACAAAAACTGCAGCGCCTTTGAAAAACCGTTATCGTGCCGGCATTGCGATGTATATCGCGAGTGTACGAGGGATTACGCTGCTCCTGAACGAGCTACTTCTCGTTGTGCGCGACATAGTACCGCGGACCAGTTAGCCGGGATATCTTCGACGATATTTAACTCGGCAGTTTTGTCGGGAAATTTCGAAACTTTTACGTCGCCTTTTCCCGAGCAGGAAAAACTCGTCTCGCGTTGCCATCGCGTTAGTAGAAACTGGACCGCGCGGTACCGTGGATCGGCCGCCATTTTCGTGCGCGGCGGAGCTTCCGAGTTCGGGCGGCAGATGGCTCCGCGATAGCTTCGGAGTTAAGGGTCCTCGCAACGATCGTTATCCGGATGTCTACAAGCTTCTTTTTAACTCCTGCTCGTGAGTTTCGATTGTAACGTTAGATCGTAGTTTTAGAAGCAACTGGAAAGAATCGTTGGCGCGTTGCGAGCCGGAGAAATGGGTAGCCGTTTCGTGCGGAAACAAAGGGGAAGGCTGAGCGGAATCGAATCAACGTCACGCGAGGCTGTCGAAGCGGAAGCTTTGTTAGCGCGAAGAAATATTGATGAATAATTTAGAAAGAATAATTTAGCTTCGCTGGGGTTGTCACTTGCAGTGGAAACGTCTTTTATTCCCCGGGAAATTATATTCGGTAGAAAACCGAGTATATGAAAGAGAGAGAGAGGAAGAAGCGAGAAAAAGAGAGGAAAGAATGGATTTGCAGGTGACGAGAAGCGGTTCGGCGTTCTCAAAAATATGCCTGTCCCACAGGGGAAATGGATGCTGTTAAAGAGGTTGTCCACCGGTGTAAAAGCGAACTCTCGTCTAACGTGGCAGCGTTTTCCACGGCTGGATCGATGATAGGTGGGCAAGTTCGTTGGATAAGTCGGACGAAAGGTCGAGTAGCGTGTAACAGAATGGAACATGGTGAATCTGATTGTGGACAGTTAATAGGACGCAATTAGTAACACGATCCTGGTTAAGTGGCTCTCAGAAGTGATGGACCCGGCACGAATCCTGCCTCGCTATCCCCCGGCCGGCCTGATAATATCGAAATTTAATATTCCACTGATCTAACCGAGATCTGATCTAGATTTAACCGGGCTTTAATCCCAACTTAATGCAAATTCGCTTCGCCCAGGCTGCGCGCGTATACCTTAGGCAGACGGGGACCAACGGGAAATCTAGACTTAGGAGACAACCGCTACTTAGCCATGCCGATCTCCTGTTCCCTGTGCACTTAATCTACGCGACACAGGATTACGGAACGACAACTCACAGTTAAATCGATTCCACGCAACGCGAACTCTGGTCAGGCATCCCGTTTTCTACGCTCCAGGTGCACGAATAACGTGCACACCCGAACAGCAGCTACCGTTGATCTTGCTGCTACACCGGACAAGTCGTCCTTGCCCGTTCCTATTCGCGATTCCTCGTAAATCTCGCGCGATCTGTTGCGTGTCTACGCATAGACCAACAATCGACATACCTCGATAACGTTTTTTTCACCTCTCGAAAGCCGTTTCAACCCGAGCCGATCGTGGCGAAATCGGTCACGTTGCTGGAAAGTCAACGATGAAGTTCTTGCGACACGGATCGAGCATTCGAAGCTCACGTGCACGTTAACCGGTATTTTCGGTGATTATTTAAATTTCAGAGCATTTCAGTGATTTCACGATGGAAGATGGCGGCAGTCAAAGTATTCTGTAACCGGATAAACGTCGTAAATGATGTCATTTACGTGTATTTTATTCACGCAGATGTAACGTAACTGTCCTGACCATCAATATGAATGTCGTTATTCAACCGCGGTACTAACCTAAATGACGATTATTAAATTTTTCATTAAAGATTCTGTATTCAGAGTGATCGCTCTGGTCACGTGACTTTTCGATTTTGCTTTTAATATACGTATTACGAATTTTTCAATATTTTCTTTTATTATATTTTTTCGTAAGGTCTTCTAAGTCTTTTACACGGCCGTGGTATATTTAGTGTTAAGCTATGGTAGCAGTTTAGAATGTTAAAATATAAATTATAATCGAATCTTATATGCTTCGCCCTAAAAAGGAGTCTTAGATCCACCCCTGACTAAAGAAGACCCCCTAACACATAAAGATCCGTGAATTACAGAAATGAAGTATAAAACGTCTCATTGACAACGAAATTATGATAATTGACAGAGTAATATCGAATTCATGAACTACCCAGGCTCATAGCCTCCAGAATCCATCTTTCGCTTGTAGTTACACAATCATTCGTCTGTCTGTATAAATTATAAGTTACTTTCGTTACTTATACAAACAGTTATTTATGTGGAAATGAAAAACCGGTCTTAGCATTAGCTTCAACGTAACGTCGTAAAATGATCATATACCGATGCATACCGATATGCACACTGTGCATAAGACAGACACGGAAACGAAATTCGACATAACATGTTAAAAGATTTTTACGAGTATCTCAGGAACTGGAACTGATAGTGGACCACGTAATAGGTGTATTATACCATGCACTATCGTACTATACCATAGTGTATTACGTAATAATTTATTCGAAAGCTTGTTCTCTGTGACGTATTTGAGGATCATCGAAACTCGATCCTATTTATAATCCTTTATGTAAATAATTAGCATACTTCTTATCACTGGCGGATTACAAAGTCAAATTATACAACTATGCGCAAAAGATTTTTGCCATTAAACATTCCTAACGAAGATCAAAGTCCCATGTGGCGCGAGAAAAACTCGTTCTTTCGTAACTGGGTCTCAGTAAAACGTTCATCCTTCGTACTTTCGCTGACTCGAGTGTCTCGAAATGATGTGTACAGGCGTGTTTGCACGGTCCCAGTGGATTTACCGATTTCTCGCCACTAACTTGGCCGTCTTTAAAATGGACCAAGGCCAGGGAGATGAAAAAGCGACGAGCAACTCTCTCGTATGAACGAAACTGATCGTTAACCCGAAACAGTGTTATGATTCGAGCGTGATGCAGTCGAAACGTCATTAACGACACGAATACGATCGAAATAAATCGTGGTTCACTGTTAACGAGTGTTTACGTTGTCACGAAATGGAAATGATTCATTTGCAAATCAACGCGACTCGTTTCGTTCTGCGAATTTAACAACATTTTTTTACCCCCGACATCAGCGCACTTGATCGATGATCGTCTCTTTTATACTGGAAATAAATTTCTATTTTTTGCTCCACGGAGATAATCGGTTTGACAAATCAAGAACTCGAGGTTATTTTTCGACCTAGATCGTGAATCGTGAGATATATCCGTGCTGTTAATCGCTTCCACTGTGATTTAATTCTGCCAAATGATATATAGGAAAAGAATTTAATTTTACTTATTCAGCTCTATTCCATTCACCATGAAATCGTACGAAAATCTTGGAATCTCTTCGGATTTTCTGAACGTTGAAACACGTGACATGTTGATAAAAATTTATTCGTATGACAAGCGTAACGTATGCAGTAATTCTAATATCCAACGATAAGTCATGGAAAGTCACTAGTTTAGTTACTAGCAAAGAATTTCGCTCGATTTCTCTACCTAAATCGCGATCGATACTACAAGGAGATAAAAGAATGTCGCAAGCTTCGTAAACGAATCAATTATTTTCGATACTCGAGAGTCGTAAAGTGGATCGGAATGATCGGAATCGACGTCGAGAGACGTTTATAACGAAAAGATGGAAGCCAATTCTATTCGTATCGCGATTACCCAACTTCCTCTCGTCCCTTTCCGACAGAGAAGTGCCTAAACATTCGCGACGTCGTTCCAGTTTTTAATCCAGGCCCTCTCCGACCTGCTATTTAAAAACCTTCGATCATTTTAGCTTTGTACGGATTTTGGGAAACCTCCTCGAACGACAAAGCGCGACGAGAGTTCAGGCCGCGAGTTCTCTCGACGGGTAAGTCCCGTCTCTCGACTAAAATGGTGGCTCGATTGCGAATGCTCATCGACCGGCGCGCCGCTCTTTAAACAGCGTAACGTCGATAATTACAGAATCGGTGTCAACGCCGTATGTCGTGAGCGGCACACGTACACGTAAATCCCATGACGCAATCGCGCCATCGTGGAATGCTTCCTAACGCCTTTCACTCTGGCAAATAAATTTCACCTCGGCTCTTTTCTCATTTTTCCCCGGCGACAGGCCAACGTCCGTCGTGAAAAATGTTTCACCAACCACAACGCTCGCACCCGTACTCTATAATTGCTAATTCGACCATGATAACTTTTTCAAACGTCACCCGCCATCTCCGCGGATCCGCCATTTTCCCGGGAGGCTAGGTGTGAAACTTTAAATTGCTCATCGAACGTAACTCAACAAGGCCCACCGCGAGTTTAAACGATGTTTGTTGTTCCCAAATTCGATTCGACGTAGCAAATTTTTCCTAGGTCGTAGGAAAAATTTCCACAACACGCGATGGGCCGATTCGCAACGGACGCGAGTATCGCCTTTTCAATTCGCTCGGCTACCAGCTGACATCTCTCGACACCGCATTAATCGATGATTTTTAAATTACCGCACAATTAACCCGATCGTTGATTAAAATGCCAACGCGAGCTGGGTGTATTGTCAAAGAGGCGGAATCGTATATTCGGTGAAACGGGCCGCGTTAATTCCCAACGGTTAACAGGACCAACGTTCCTCTAATTAGACGTAGATTAAAACCGCCAGCATCGGAGGTCCAGGCAAACGGTATCGAAACGGCGAAAACCATGGAACCGGTTGGAATCCAGTTTCTTATCACGCGTCTCGATCACGCACCGTATGCAATGGTAATGAAACTTTCGTCTGGGAACGCGCCGCCATCTTGTTGCACGCGCCGCGAGCGACCGTCACGCCGAATTTGCGTGTTCTTCCCGCGAACCGATTAAAAATCACCGATAAACGCGCGTGTAATTCATTAGCGACTGTTTCCAGGTGAAAGGCGAATCTCGTGTCACCTCTTGGGACGTAATTTCGAAACGTCAAGCTCGGAACTTCCGAATAGGAGGGAAAATCTAACCTATTTGGGTATAATTCGTTTATTTTTCTTTCGTTTTTCCTTTACCTTTCGGTTCGGGTATTTATCAGCGAGAATTAGAGAAGTGGTCAGGGTGAAGAGTGGCTCGGCACGGATTAAAAATGCCCCGGCAGAAGGATGATCCGATTTAGACGAATGTCAACGAGCATTTTTCCGCTGCGCAAATCCGATCTATGGAATGGAAACTAACGTGTCAATGTTTGAACTAACTTCACGGAGAACAAAGTAAATAGGGGAGCAGGGCCGGAAACGAAAGCTTGGCCGCGTTAGTCAACGCAGGAACGGTCGATGAAATAAAATCTTGCGCGTTTGAAAAAGGCCGGCCGTGTTCTCGGTTAATTTCATTTGAATATGGGACATAGGCGTGGGAACGAATACGGGATACCGAAAGATGGCAGTTCCCAGCGACGCTTTTAAACTCGGTTCCTCGGAACGTTGTTCCGCCATTATTCCATTCGCAGCTCTAACCGAGATATATTAGGCTGCCTTTAAACGACGCGAATGACAGCTAGCGATGAGGTGATCCATTCCTATGCACGTCGAATTACTTTCGAATTGGCAACAAAGTGATCCCGTGACGAATAGCCCTATCGATTCTATGTCGCATGACAGCGAGAACCGATTAATCCTTTTAGTACCTTTTATCCCATTATTCGTGCAATTTGCTTTTTAATGTCAACGATATTGGTTAAAAATATGAATTAAATTTCATCGATAATTTCGTCAAAAATAAATAATATCGGGAGAATATTCTTCATCGAAGGTAAGCACTTTTGATACTTTTCTGTGCAACGACGAGTATGTTCGTTGCGACGAAAAATAATTTGCTTTCACTGATTAAGGTATAACATAGATGACACATATAGAAACACATATAGCTTCTTAACGAAAAGTGAATTGACGATTATTAACCTATATTAGACGACTTTTATTTTATTATAGAATTGCTTTTTAATTTGCTAACAAAAATCTAATAGCATTGTGTTTAAAGTGTGAATATTTCGATTAATGGTTAAGCATTGTTTATTAAAAGGGAATGTCTAATCATTATTTAGAATCAAGTATTATTAGATAAAATGAAATTTAATTTCTCCTTATCTAAGAGTGTATGCTGGATTAGTGTATGTCTCTGTATTATGATTAATATCCTATACAGATAATAGTAATCATGTTTCTTCATCACTGGTATTGTTCTTATATTCATTGGTATTATTGTTTGAATTACTATAGCTTACCAATCAGAAGCACAATTCTTTAGAATTAAGAATCTTTCAAAAATATATCGAAACGCATACAGATATTCAAAAGATTCGAATTTAAGATTACAAAATTATAATAAAAAAATTTCCCTATAATTTTTAATTATTCGGAAATTTATATTTACATTCCCACGAATGCTTCGTTTACGAGTCAATCAAATTTTAAATTCGATAAATGAAATCGACGAACCAATGCGCAACAGATATATAAATTAATAATTTTTTGGGGAAAGAACTAGCGACATGCTTTAGCTTGCTATAATTCCTTTCAATTTTACACTCGTCACTTGAAAATAATCCAGCACACAGACTTCCGAAATTACGCACTTGATGAGTTGAGGACAGTATCATCAGAAAATCCTTGTGGAAGGCAACTTTCAACAGATTTTCACGTTCCGTTTGTAAACTAGTGAATTCTGACAACAGGATTATCTTGTATTATAATTATAATGATGTTTCATTTGCTTAACCGGAAAGAATCCTTTGTAATACACAGAAGAACAGAGACTACAGTCAAACAGAGAAAAAGAGGAAAGAAGAAACATACACTCTGTAGAATTAAACAACACGATGCTACGGATTATTCAAAACACGAGCAACAGACCACTGAAAAGTAGCATAAAATCATATTATAACATCCAAATATTGCGTACTGTTAATACTCTAGACTACGAAGAACAGAAACTGAAGTGTAATCTCGAACTATCCTCTCTGTCTGTCATCACGGAACCAAAATTGAACCCGATTACGAATTACGTACGAGAGCCTCTATAGCTGGAAATTACGCGAACTAAAATTCCGCGAGTTCACTGTGGAAGAAGGAAGAAGAACTGCTTCGTGACACCGTACACTTCGAAGACGTTGCACCAGATCCTGTACGACGTTAACGATAATTCCACTAGCCCTGCACCGGTAAATACCCGTGACGACTTATTCTCGTTGCGCGTCTCGGGCCACGTCTGGCCGAATTTTGCGGGAAACAAACGAAGGGAGGGTTCGCGATCGGACGTGCTTGGAATTGAAACAGCCCTCTAAATTACACAGTACTCGCGGCGTGTTTCGCGGAACGATCTTCGATCAGGGACACGGATAATCCACTTCCGGGGTGATAACTCGAGCAGGCTCGCGCGTGGCAATTTAACGAGGCGCGAAAGACGTTGTGTCTCCTTATAGTCATAGCGTTAAACAGTTCTGCACGGTGTTAATCGTATCCAACGTAGGTTAATTGCATCGGTAGTACGCGAATTACATCGGTCGTACCGGATGCTGCATGGGGTCCCTGCGTCGACCGGTCAGCCATGACGCAACGATCTCAAAAAACGGAAGCGTCCTCGCGACGAATAAACTAAAACGCGTTGCTTTTAGGCGAAAGTCGGACACGATGCACGCAAAAAGCCGGTCACCAGCGGATCGCAAAGAG